AAAAAAAAAAAAAAAAAAAAGCCGTAAAAACTAATAAAAACTCATCTTTTTTATGCATTTCAGTTGCGCGATGGACTGAAAATCGGCCGCCAAATAGACAAAGATGAACGGCGTCGCTTCGCATTTTTTACTGAAATGTTGTTGAGTGAACTATAAACAAAAAATCGCACGATTTTCTCGTACAATTTGGAATTAATAGACACTCGTAATGTTTCGCCTAAAGGCTCGTGCAATTACAATAACTTTCAAAACATTACTCGTGTCTATTAATTTCCAAATTGTACTTGAGATCGTGCGATTTCCTATACTAATTTACTTGTCGTATTCAACGCACCCTCAGTCCCAATATAACTACTGTAGTAACCATATGTCATTATCTAGGACTACTTGTCCTGATTGTCTTATGCCGATTGTGTTTACGCATCTTGCCCTCTATTCTTAGGTCCAGAAATCCCGATGCTTATTTTTGCTAACCGTAAGAACATCAGACGAATAGCGGTGGATGGCAAGTTATACGGGGAAGTCCAAGGTAACTTGACTAGAGCTATTGCTATGGACTTTGACGTCCGTGAAGGGAAGCTATACTGGTCTGACGTGACGGATAACGCAATCTACAGAGCTGATTACGTGACATCAAATGCTTCCAGTTCAAGGGTATGGCCAGATACTGCTAAATAGACATTAGCGCCCTGTGTTATTTGTTATGGTGGCTTTAGCTTGGGTAGATGACCTTCCTCTTTCCTTCCATTGCTTTCTTTTTTCTTTTTTCATTTTCTTTTATGCCCCGTCCACACCTATCCAGAAATTTTTGTATCCGCAAAATCTTGTTTACGTCAGCGTATTCGAAAATTTGCGGATACGACCGTCCACACTTATCCGTATTCGGAGCGTATTCGAAAATTTCCACTCTGGAGACCGTTTTCGTGTGGACGCAACCCGTATCCGCAAAAAATAATTTGCGGATACAAAAATTTCCGGATACGTTTGGACGGGGCCTTATACTTAATACTTGCAAAAACTTGCACTTGTATATTAAATACCTGGAAAAAAGAGGCGGTTGCGCAAAATTGATGGACAAAGGTGAAACTCATACTTTGCTTTCAGCAGATAATTTTCATAGCCCATCGCAGTAGATCTTTGATTTAATTGGGTTATTATTCTAAATTAAAGTAAAAGTATTAAGAACGGTTTTTATAATATTCGACACGGTTAAACAAAATGAAATGTTTGTCTGAGTCTTTATAAAGCAATAGAATCTGCGCGCTGCGCTATTCGATCATGAAGCGTGGGCCAAGGGTTTGTCGCGCGCGTAAACTGACAAATCAAGTACGGTCAATGACCACTATTTCAACTCCATCTCTCTTTCATTCCATGACATTTTATTCCATTTTCCCTTTCATTCATTCAGCCGGAACCAATCATCACAACTGGTCTAGCTGTGCCGGATGGACTAGCGGTAGACTGGATTGGTCGAAATCTGTACTTCGTTGATAGCTCAGCCAATAGGATATACGTTAGTAAATTAAATGGTAGTGACCGGACGTCACTCATCACTACCAACCTTGCTAAGCCCAGGGGGATAGCATTAGACCCTCGAGATGGGTAAGTCAATATTTTGATTCTTAGGAAAATCTTCTCAACCCGGTGTCGAAGTCGAACAGTTTCGAGTAGAGAAGGGATTTGATGAGTAGAAAATCGATATATGAAAAGTTCGGCGTCCCGCAAGGAAGTCAGCTCTTTATATGTTTAATTTAATTTGCTCCTCGTAGTCGGACGGTTTTATGAACCGTAAACTGACTTTCGTTTTGAAATACTGGAATTTTCTTTGCTGTGCCATCTGACTCGACACCAATCTCGTACTCAGAGCCTAAACGAGGGCTCTGGCATAATCCATATTTTGGCGCATGCGCAACATTCGGAAAGTGAGATATAACCGATCAAAATAATTAAAGTAAAAACCATAATAAAAATTAAAAATCGAATAATATATATATTAGAGCCCTCGTTCTTCACCGCAGGTCAGAAGAAACGCAGACTCTGGGTACGAGATTGACTCGACACGAGTGAAAAACGTCTGCGCATGCTCCAAGTCCATGTGCAAAGCAGTAGTCACAACGTCTTCATGCTATTGTAAAAATATGCAAATTTGACTTTAAAACATGCCTGACAAATCGACTTTTCAAAATCCCAAAACTTAGAGTCAGTTCATGAAACTTAAGGCTAATTATTTCACATTGTCTTTTTTTAATCCAGTAGTTTGGTCCCACAAAAGTATATTCACGAAACGTTTTGTATACTCGGAGAAAACGATTATTTATTTTCTCATTGGCTCGTCTTCTAAGCGTTTCAGTATCTCTAGTGTCATCTGACACAAGTTTGGGATAGTTTTTCGCCTTTTAATAAACTTTTTGTTTGTCTTTTCGAAGCTTCCTTTTCTGGACGGATTGGAAGGCACACAGGATTGAACGCGCCAACATGGATGGAACTAATCGTACAGTACTCATCAAAGACAATGTTTACTGGGTCAACGCCTTGACCCTTGATTATACAATGCGCACTGTTTACTGGGCCGATGCGCACCATGATTACGTAGGCGCCATGTCGTACTACGGCGAAAAGCGGCGCAAAATAATAGGACGTCCAGACGTTGCTCATCCATTTGCTGTCACCGTCTTTAGGAACTTTCTTTTCTTTTCCGACTGGATTCGACACGCAATCGTTAAGGTTGATAAATTCACTGGTAATGAGACAGCGGTGTTATTAAAGGGTTTGATACAACCCATGGATATACAAGTATACCACAGTGCGCGCCAGCCCACGGCGTATAACCCCTGTGCTGTTAGTAACTGTGGTTGCCAACACTTATGCCTGATTACGACTAACCAACGCTGCACTTGTAAATGCGCCACAGGATATAGATTATCCTCGAACGGTAAATCATGCATAAACATCAACACGTTTCTTCTATATGCGCGGAGAACAGAAATAGCTGGGATCTCGTTAGACAGTAGGGACAACAGTGATGCAATACCTCCAATACTCAGCCTTGGTAATGCAGTTGGTCTAGATTATGACGCAAAACAGGGCCACGTGTATTTCACAGATGTTATTAGAGATAATATTAGTAGAATATCATTATCTGGACGAGATTTAAGGGTGTTGATAACTGCTGTCCGTAATGCTGATGGTATTGCCGTGGACTGGCTGGGGAGGAATCTCTACTGGACTGACGTGGACCTTCACGAAGTGTCGGTAGCCAAACTCAATGGATCTTTCAAGAAGACTTTATTCTCAGAGAATGTGAACAACCCACGAGCGATCGTACTGCATCCTCTTCAAGGGTAAGATATGTAACTTATTTTCATTTCGAACCGCCTGTCATTCTATTGAATATTATTCCATTGTTCGCTAGGACTTAAACAAAGAAGCTAGTCTCTAGACTGCGCGCGGTCCCACTTATCCCTCCAGACTCAGTAAAGCCGAGTGTTTTGGTTGGGATTCCTGTGGACGCGTCTCTAAAGAACTGAAATGCGTAAAAGATTCCCCTTAAATGGAATAGCTCTGTGTCCTTTTATATCACTTGAAAAGTTACCCATTTCTCTTCTGGAGAACAATTTGCCATTGAGATTGGGAAGTACGGGTGGTGAGTGTTACTAATGCGCTGCCTGTCATCGCTGTTGTCATGAGTTCGATCCTCGGACTTGCTGATCTATGTGTGAGTAGAGTTGCTTGTTGATTTTATCCTGGGCCCAGTTGTAAGAAGGGTGTATAACGCTATCTGACGGATAAATCTTGTCCAGTGGATAAACTTAGTAGATAACAGCATCGACTTATCCACTGGATAAGGATTTATCCACTGGATAGCGCTATCCACCCTTAGTACAATTGGTCGCTTTGCTTCAAGGGTTTTCTCCATGTTCTTTGGACCACCCCACCGTGGCGTAATATGGTTTTTGATAATGATTTTTTTTGTCTTTTTTAGATTAATGGTGTGGAGTGACTGGGGATCTCCGGCTAAAATAGAGATAGCAAACATGGACGGCACAGGACGTCATGACCTGGTCACTGGTAATGGTTTAACATGGCCCAACGGTCTTGCCATAGACAGAAACCAGTTATACTGGACAGACGCTAAATCAGACACTATCGAGGTCATCGATCTGAACGGGGAAAATCGCAAGGTGCTTCTGAGAAATCTTCACCACCCGTTCGGGCTGGACATATTCGAAGGGCATATCTATTGGACGGATTGGATTACTAAAGATATCAAGAGAACTGCTTTGAAGACACTGACTAATGTTACGGTATTGAGGTCCAACTTACCCGGGTTGATGGAGATCAAGGTGTACAGTGCGTCAAGACAACAAGGTTGGTTTTTTCTCAGTTATAAAACAGGGAGCACTTTTCCATTCAACTAGGAAAGGAATTCTTTCCATTAGTTAAACTATTAGCCCTTGCAAAACTTTGTCAAAATAATTGACTGATCCATTCATCTATACCTCCCTCCTTACCTCGTTTGTTATGTCCATGGTTCACGCCTCTTTGCAAACCACGTATTGCTTCGACACGACATCGAGAGGACCAATTTGGCCCCAGAGAGCCATTTTAGTTTTTTCAAAGTAGTGCTATTTTAGCCCAGGCTAGGGCCAAAATAGAACAATGCCATTTTGGCCCCACAGAAGCCATTTTGGTATGGGTCTATCAGTACTGTTTTCGCCTCCTCAACTAGGCCAAATCAGGGGGAAAATCCATATAAGGGGCTAAAACAGTCCCAAAATCAGAGCTAAARAATGGCCCCTACCGGTAGTGCCAAAATAGCCCTACTTTAAGGAGGCCACTATAGGGTCAAGATTTTGGCCTCATTTTAGGGGCCAAACCGCCCTATCCGATTTACCGTGCACATACACCTATTTCAGGAAAAAAACGCCAAAGGCCATGGGCGATAGATCATTCTACGGCGGAAAGGAATTATGGAAATGCAATTAAACTTGAATCATCGAGGTCTACGATGTTATTGCTGCATATCTCAACAGTAACCTCTGTTTTGTTCACAAGAATAATAGTATATTATAGTCAATTCTTGGATCTTTGAATGACCAATCGCCGTTTTTTTGAAATAGGCGTATATGGCTCTCGCATTACATAGATTTCTACACTTACATAATATTTTTAGATCTAGAATTTTATTTGTATTGTATTATTTAGATTTTAGTTTAGCACGTGCACGTTCTAACGAGACTTTATTGTAAGCTCCTGTGTGTCTACGTGAATAAATAAATAACTTACTTACTCACTCTCTCACTCACTCACTCTCTCACTCACTCACTCTCACACTCACTCACTCACTCACTTACTCACTCACTCACTTACTTACTTACTTACTAAGTTATCAAGAAACCAACCTATTTATTTTTGGATTTAGGTTCAAGTCCGTGTTCCAATGAGACAAGTGGGTGCAGCCATCTTTGTCTGTTAAATCCCGAGGGTTTCTCGTGCGACTGTCCTTATGGGAAACGACTCTCTGAACAAGACAACAAGACTTGTATATGTAAGTGACATAAAGACTGAATGAATGAATGAAAGAAAAAAGCAAAGATACAGATGCTGTGAGCGTGCAAGGTAGCAGGCGAGCAAATCTTAGAAATCTTACTGCTGACAAGATTCTGGACCTCAGTAAAATGAAAATGCCTCGGTTCGCTTAGATGTGACGGTCACGTCATTGGTTCGCTTAGATGTGACGGTCACGTCATTGTCGGAAACGTTGCAGTCGTTTCGTAGACCAATGAAATAATGTTTTGCGCTCTCCGTTGCAGAAGTAGATCTCGTTGTCCTTGTTTTAATCCTGGAATATTGTCAGCTGCATTGCTTGCAACAGCACGCCATGTTTGTCTTTGTGTTGAACTAACTTTCCCAAATAGTACGTCCTTTTGTGAGTTCAATAAACAGACTGCATTCTGCCTAGCTTCGATACAAACAATTCCGCGCAAGGAATGATGAACAAAAGATGTTTTTATACTCAAGCTAAACCACAATGCACAAGGTTCGCTATCTTAGAAAAGAACTATGTCATATCTCTTCCAACTAATCTTAGAAAAGAACTATGTCATATCTCTTCCAACTAAAGTTTTCCCAAACTCAAGTTACTTGAATTTTTTTTTTTTTTTTTTGCTGCCCATCTCACCTTGCATGTATTTTTTTCCAGTTAATTTTACCGTTGACACAACAAGAAGCTGCCCACCTGGAAAGTTTCGTTGTAGGAACGAACTCTGTATCCCCAAACGATGGAAATGTGATGGAGAAAACGACTGTTTGGATAACTCGGACGAGGATGATTACGCTAATTGCTGTGAGTAGAATAGCCTTATACATAGACGAAACATGTAAGAGATTCGTTGGGGGAAAATGTTTAACTGAAATTTTATCAATACCCTGAAACCACCTCTGCATGGGCTGACCAAAGTCAGGGCATGGTTAACTCGAAAGATCTAACAAACTCTGGCTGTCCAACTGTGAAAAAGATATATAGACAACTGAGATATAGAAAAATCTTTTTTTAAATACTCCGTGTGAGTGTAGTCTTGATAAAGACTGTTGTTGGTGGTGACTGACGTTTCGACAACCTGAGCGGAGAGTCTCTTCAGAGTCCAGTGAGAAAATGAGACACAGTCGATGGTATTTATACAGATTTATACTCAGAAAGTAAAACGTTTTCTCGATGACACGTGTACGAATTTTCCCAAGAACGTATGCCGGCGTACCATCTATACATTCTTTGTAACATTTCGGCTTTTCAAAATGAAGAACTAATATATTTCCTTTGCATCGCAAAACGTTCAAACTTGGCCATAGTTATGCTCTATATTCTTCTTGTTCTCCAGCTATTGGTTCATCGTGTAAACCTGGTCTCTTCCAATGCCGTGACAGTAAAAAGTGCATCCCGTTACCATGGAGATGTGATGGAGACTACGACTGTCTGTTGCCAGATATCTCTGACGAGATGAATTGTCAGAAAACCTCCAATTGCAGTGACAATCAGTTCAAGTGTGGTGACGGTCAGTGTAAACCTAAAAGTTGGGTATGCGATGGGATTGATGACTGTAGTGATAGCTCAGACGAAAAATATTGTGGTAAGAAAAGACTTTGTTGAATTCCAAGGTGATGGGCTACCTTTGTCTAAGAAAAACACAGGAATCCCAAACATTGCTGATTGTAAATACCCTTCACAGGTAACCATAGCTGTACATCGGAGCAGTTCACGTGTTCAAGTGGTCGATGTATTCCAAGGCGATGGCGTTGTGATGGTGATAATGACTGCGGGGATCGAAGCGATGAAGTTGATTGCCCTTCAAAGAACTGTAGCTTGAATCACTTCCGGTGTAATGATGGCAAGTGTATTAATGCTGCGTGGGTGTGTGATGGGGATAGTGACTGCCTTGATCACTCTGACGAAACCAACTGTCGTAAGTACCTTTATGCTATGTACTTATTTCAATAAAGCAAGAGAATATTAAGTAAGAGAGCACATCTCTCATACATGGGTCTGTAACCATGAAAGTTTCTTGAAAATCTATTTTTAGCTGCGCGCGCAAGCCTGAGCTATTTTTAACATGCGATCCCTTATTGCTGCTCAGAGTTGTAGTGACTTCCATGCGAGCGAAAATTGTTTAGTTCCCGACGAGAAGAATGCCTTCAAAATTAGTAAAAAGTTGAAATGATTAAATTATCATGTGTTCTTCATGGACGAATTAAACATTAACTTAACAATTGATATAAAAGAATATCGAAAAAGATCAAATCAGGATGGTTTTCAGTCACATACAAACAAGCGCTAAAAACAGCGAAGACGCCATGGGGAAAGAAACCGCAATAAAAAATAAGATGAAAATAGCGAAAAACCTACAGTGAATACAGCTAAAAAAGCATTTACCGTAGTGTTTTCTATASTAAATAAAGTTTAAGTTAAAGTAATTAAGAAGACGATGAACAAGACCAGTATTTTGTTTCACACACGAATCAGAAAAACTATTTGCACCGAAATGTGCCGAAGAAAATTTTCTGTTTTTACAGAGTAAAAAACTACAAGAGGCACTGAAGTGATTTTTCACAATTATTAAATATGTTTAGCTTGCCAAAATACGGTGTGTCAGTTTATGCAAAAGACATTGCCCATTGAGAAAAGGCGAATTAATGAAAAAGTTTGACTATTATAAAACTAGAACTTTCTTTCAAATTTTGCACCATGAATTTTCGCTCCGCCTCAATGTTCAGGTATTTTTTTTCATAACTTTTCAACTTCTAAAGTCCCAAACAGACAATAGAAATACAATCACAATATCGGCGAAGTACAAAAAGTGAATCAAACTTAGTATTTGAGGATTCAAACTAATAAAAAAGAGATTATTTTTACCTGATTGAAGGGCATTTTACCTGCGATTTTTTCTGCCAGATGCTCTCAGTTCGGCGTATTTGTGCCTTTATGTTT